ATTTATTTATTTATTTATTTATTTATTTATTGACAAGGACTGAATGACAAGGCTTTAAAGATTTGTTTATAAATGGAAAGAGATTTCTTTTGCTTTACAATGGTAAATTGGAATATAAAACAGATTTATGTGATTAAGGGTAAAATATATATGTTATTATTTCTGGTAGCTCTTAATGGACTTTTGTTGAATAGGACTGAATCATGAGTTTTTACAATTTGTTTATTGATAAAAGATGAGATATAGGAAGAAGATTTTTATATTATTACTGAAATACTAGAGAAGATGTTAAATTACTGTGATTGTTTATACTTGTCTGGAAGGAGGGGGAAGTCATTTGTCAATATTCCTCTTTTCTTATTTTTTTTATCTTTTTCTTTTTCTTTTTTTTTCTCTTTGCACTTTTATTTTTCTTTTCTTCACTTTTTATATTTCTCTTAGTTTGTATTAGTCTTTTAACTTTGTATTTGTAAACCTTAATAAAATTATTATTAAAAAAAAAGAATGGGGCAAATTTATAGCAAGACAAATAACACAGTTAAGCTGTGGTTTTCAGAGCCCTTGAAGATATCTTTGGAGTATATTCATCAAACAAAATTCAGCATTTCAGTTTCCTGACAAAATCTCACTGATTTCATTGGGAAAATAAAATACCATTCTTAGCTCTTTTTCGGCTAAAACAGTAGGATAAAATAATTTAAAAAATATATTCTTTATTAGATGAGTGGTTATAGCATCCAGGACTTTCAGACTGGGGACTTTAGTCTCACCATGAGTTTTCCCAATTGGCCACTTGCTTTTCTAATCTTAATAGTATAAATTCAGATGATAGTCTTTTAGGCCTCACTGCAAGAGAACAAGCAGACTTATGACTTCATGTCAAGTTCCTTTCAACAGTGTATGTACAGTGATCACATGTCCTTGATTACAAAGCACAGTCCTTTATTTCAGAAAGCTGTCCTTTAGATTTATTTATTTTTGAAAAACTCACTTTTGTCCTTTACTTTGGTCATTTAATTTTTACCATACAAATGGTACCACTTAATGCACAGTCTTTCACATTCATGTGAAAAATATGGAAATTGAATTGTCTTTTTAAAATAAATTTACATGTACAGTTTGATTATAGATATTTTTATTAGAATATGTGTTTTTGTAAAGTTTTTCTTGGTTTTGTTCTTGAATTTTCCTTTGTAAAGCAAAGTTATAAATAATTTTAAAAAATACAAATGGTACCACTTAATGCACAGTCTTTCACATTCATGTGAAAAATATGGAAATTGAATTGTCTTTTTAAAATAAATTTACATGTACAGTTTGATTATAGATATTTTTATTAGAATATGTGTTTTTGTAAAGTTTTTCTTGGTTTTGTTCTTGAATTTTCCTTTGTAAAGCAAAGTTATAAATAATTTTAAAAAATTATCTTTATGAACCACTTTCAGATGTGCCCCTTTTTCAGGTTTGTTCTTTATTTTTTCCAAGAAAATATGGTCACCACTTGCATGTAATGTTGCAGCTGAGCCTAAAATATCAAAAATTAACTGGAACCAGCACTTACTAAACCCATGATACAAAAATAATGATATGCTGATAGAATAAAATTTAGTAATCGTACAAGAAATCTACCTTGGATGTTGGCCTGAAATTGTTTTGAACTCATTTTCCCAATTTGGTCTTCCATACTGGGTTTTCTGTTTCAAGCCTGTAATCACATCTTTCTCTTCCTCATGATGCATTGTAAAATGAGTTGCCTGGAAAGATAAAAACAAGAAATAGCCTTATTAAAGTTAGGCAACTTTTTGTAACTAGATGTCTTCCAGCTGTAATTCCTAGTCAGTGTGGCCCACAGAAGTTGAAGTCCAACACATCTAGAAGGAAATAGATTGGGAAATATTAGCAGAGTTAGCTGTGTTTGATATAAAAGAGAGAAGAGATTGTCCTAACAGTAACCCCCAAATAACTCAATAGTATCCAACAGAAAAAAATGTAACACAAAACGAACTGGTATGTATATGATGGAGGAAAAACTGAAGAAGAGGCCTCTTAATATCTCTTAAGACTGTGTGCCCTGGTGTAGTTATGTCTGCTAACTGTGTCTTGAGGATAAGAATGCATGATGTCATTTTTGATCTACCCGTTTCAAATGATCCAATTTTCCTTCTGCTAGTGCAGAAGACCCCTTAGTATGCTGGGCATATTTACTGAACTACAATCAGCTTCATACAGATAATTTTCATTCTACCATATTCTACCCCATCATTAGTTTTAAAAGTAACCTAAAATGTAATAAATCACAACCACAGCCAACAGTGATTTCCTTTAAAAGAAAAACTGAAATGACAAGTCTTACTCCTAATAATCTTGCTGCCAGTGTGCATGCTGTATGCAAAATTTGTAGGTTTTTTTTTTTTATCCAGGGAGAGAAATGGTTCACTATACTGTTTCTATACTACTCAGAAAGGACTGAGTCATGTGTCTTCCAAAAGACTGCTAGCCTCAGAAGCGAGGAACTGAAACAAAGATCTGTTATGCAAAGATAGCATAAATAATCTCACTTAAAATATATCATTTTCATGGAGAAAATCTATCTGTGAGGTTGTGCTAAGAGTTGACAAGGACTTGATGGCGCATAATCAATCAAAATATATAATTTACTTATTGCTAATTCAGATGGTGGAAGAAGGAAAGAGTAGAATGCCTCTCTCCTTGAAAAAAAAAACATGATCTTTTTATATTCTTCTAACACATGTATCCACACAAACAAAGCAGTTGCTTTTACAAACATGACAGCTATGTAAATACTCTGAAAGAAGTGCTTCAGAATGCGTAACACTTTCAAGTTCCTTTTTTTGTTGAATAGCTACAACCTTTTCCAGATATGCACAGCGTTTTTTCCCCCCAGAAACTGCTCCTAGTTCTCCCTGCACAAGCATGGCTCAATGGAATGGCTGTGTATGGATATGCATGAAGAGAGAGCTGGAGCAACTTTTGAAGCAGCCATGCATGGCTGGAAGATACTGCTGGCTGCTGCGTTAACTGTTCAAAAAGATGCTTTGTACACAGTCTCATGTATTCTGAAGTACCTATTTTGAAAGATTTGCATAGCTGTAACAAATATGCTTGCTTGCGTGCTTTGCATTAATGCTTGTTTACACCACTTGCCTTTTATTCTCAGCAATAACGCTTTAGTCTCAGAACAGTATGATCACAATTATCCATGAGAAAAAGCCAATCTGTTGGTAATTCCTGATCTGCTGCCAGCTGTCCTTATTTACTTTTCAAATATTTGTGGTGGTGTCTCAGTGGTGGAATCCATAATGTGACAACTAGTGAAAATGGCCAATAATAGCCTGTTGGATTCATGAGCAGGAGTAATTCTGGATCCAGCCCCCCTCCCCATAAAAGTGGGAGATATGCAGTGATTGCCTTCTTTTCTTAAAGATCCAATTGCTTTGATCCAACAGTTACCTGAGATTCATCCCAGCCAGTAAGATAGATGTTGTAGCTGAGAAAGTCTGTTTGATCCTTTTCTTGCATTTGAGCCTCCACTGATTGCAAGAGATCAGCAAACCATTCAAAGGCATGGGTGTCTCGGCAGAGCCAGTAAAAATAGATCTGGAAGGAGTGAAATTGGACATGATCACATGATTAGATCATCTTCAGTTAAATCATTTTGTTCACCTTCTTTTCCTCAAACCCACAAAATACTGTTGACTGTGACAATCCCTCGGCTGTAATAACAGTAGGTTTCAACCTTGCTTAGAAGTGACAGGAACAGAAATCTTTGAAATATGAGTTGATTTTTTATTCATGGTAACAGAAATAGCAACACACAGCTGGCAAAACCCAGCTGTCTTTCCCAGTTTAAACTGTCCTCCTCGGGTTAGCATTCCTTCAAAAGAGCACTAAACTTATGTTTAAAAAGTCAGTCTAGTGCTTTTTCAAAAGAACACTAAACCCTTATTTATAGTGATCCTGAGTACTTGACAAGGGTCAGACATTACCAAGGCAGATGTCCAATCTCACCAAGCCAAAATAGGAAGCGTGTCTTGCTAATTCTGCCGCCTTTGGACGCATTGCTGATTTTCTTGGCTTCTACCAACAAGGGCTTTGTGTGACCATATTTTTTTTTCACTGTTATTATTATTATTACTATTTCTGACTCACTAGAAATGTCTGTGGCTGGCCAGTGACCCTGACACCAGCATCATGCAGCTGCAGTTTGCACATTATTTTTTGTGTAGTACCATGGTTAATGTAGATCATTCGGGGAGGCACCATTTTCTCCACTCCATTCCAGCTTTGGAAGTCTTGGTGCCAGAGTGGTGATTGTTGTTATTATGCATGGGCCAATAGGAGCCAGGCAAGTGCCAATCCCTAACCACATCAGCAACCAAATAGTCAGTGAAGCACACCCAAAGTTTTCATGGAAAATTATGTCAGAAGAAGAGAGAAACACTATTTTAAAATTGGGACAGAAAAGAATAACTTTAAGCTGTCTCTGACATTAGCTAGGGATAAAACAAAGGAAATTCCATGAGAACACAGCAGAAAAAAACAGTTTTTGGGACATGTTTATGCCATAGTTAGAGGCAAGTGAGGATTAGTCCTAACTCACTCACTCACTCAGTCTCTCTCTATATATATTTAAGCATCAGATTACAATATAAATCTGTCTTCTTCAATTTGGCCATATTAATTGGAAATTACAAGGTCTAACACATCTGAAAAACACCAGAGTAGGCAAGCCTGGATGTGAAGTACTAGTTTTGCACACAAGTGAGCTTATATAGCTCCCCATTTTTACATATGCTGTCCATTGCTAGAAAACAAATGTTGAATGCTCAGGGACAGATTGGGGACTTACCTTTTTGAGTTTTAGGTCCATGGCATTATTGCAGTACTTGTACCACACAGATTTGAGGATGGATGCAAAAGGGGTAACCCCAATGCCAGCTCCAACAAGCATCACAGTTTCATAACTGAACACATCTTCACTAGCAGTACCAAAGGGACCATCTACAGCTATCCTAGAATGTGAAGATAAAGTTTCAAATAATCATTGTTACTGAGTCTTACCACCAGGCTGGAACCAATTTTACTGTATTTAGGGACTATTCCATATTTTGAAGAATGTTATTATTTTATATTATTGTGATCAGAGATGATGATGATGATGATGATGATGATGATGATGATGATGATACCACCGAACTGGCCTATAAGAGAGACCAAATGAAGAACAGAAAAGAGACATGGCAAGGCAAAGCATTACATGGCCAGTACACAAAAAAACTAGCAGGCAAAGCAGATAACAAAAGACCTGCCAATGGCTAAGAGTGGGAAAGTTGAAAGAAGAGACAGAAGGGCCACTTCTGGCTGCACAAGACCAAGCCTTAAGAACAAATGCATATGAAGCCATAATTGAGAAGACCGCAACAGACAGCAAATGCCATCTCTGCAAAGAATCTGAAGAAACAGTGGACTATGTAGTTAACTTCTGCAAAATGATTGCACAGACTGATTATAAACAATGACATGACAAGGTAGCAACAATGGTGCATTGGAATATCTGCGAGAAATACCATTTGCCTGCAAGCAAGAACTGGTGGGACCACTAAACAAACAAAGTAATAGAAAATGAAGAAGCTAAAGTGCTCTGGGATTTTAGAATTCAAGCAGACAAGCACCTGCCACACAACACCCCAGACTTAACAATTGTTGATAAGATAGATAAAAACGTCTGGATAGTGGACATAGCAATACCTGGAGGCAGCAGAATAGAAAAGAAAGAACTGGAGAAAATCACAAAATATAAAGACCTCCAAATAGAACGACTGTGGCAAAAGAAAGCAAAGATAGTACCAATAGTTGTAGGTGCCTTAGGAGCAACCCTGAAAATCTGGAGCACCACTTGAAGACCATCGTCACTGACAAAATCACCAACAGTCAATTGCAAAAGGCAGCTTTATTTGGAACAGCTTAATTCCTGTGATGATACCTTTAACACCATCAAACCATCAAACAACATCTGTCTATCCCAGGTCCTTGGGAAGGACTTGATAGGTGGATAAAAATGCCAAATCCAGTCTAAACACCTGGATGACTGTGCAACCAACCATAATAATAATAATAATAATTGTAATGCACTCTAGTATGGGCTCCCACTGCTGATAAATTCATCTCCTTGTGTTGAGGAGTGTCTGATCTTTCATGGTACAATTAAGCCATTTAAGATTGATTTTCCTATTCTGAAAGTGGTGAATAGCACTGAGATAGGGTCCAAACTTAATGTTATGATTGACAATATAACATGACACTTCATAAAAAATATAATTACTGTTATGATGTGTACATACTTAGGCAATTTCCAAGCTTCTTGGAGTTCTTGTTTGTCACATCCACAAACTTTAAATAAGCCTTCCGTCCAGTCTCCCACAACACGTATGTGAATGCTGAAATAATCTTCTTCAGGGGCAGAAGTCAGTGTGAAAGGATGCCATTCCAGTATGGACACTGCAGGACATTTGACAAAAATATACTGCCCAACTTCCATCTTAAAGCCCTTCTTTTTCATCTGGAGCTCAAAGGTTTGGAAAGGATGTGTGACAACCTGACACAAGAAATAAAGTTCTCAGAATGCCAGAGGAAACCAAAGTTTGTTCTGAGTTAACACAAGTTTGATGAAGGAAGTAACAAAAGGTATTCCAATATTTATTTACAATAATGATTTGAATGGAAATGTTACCTGCATGATTATTAACTATTAAATATATTACTGCTGGAAAGAGACTTCCAAATAAATATATTATATATTTTGATGATTTATTTGGAAGTTTCTTCCCAGCATTGAGACTCATTATCTCTAGGGATCACTGACCACAAGGGACAGAAAAATGACTAACATTTTTAGTGACTTAAAACATGTAAGCCACCTTTATGACTCTTACCTTTGTAATAACCACCTTTTGTTGTGAGCGCCAAAACCGCACCAGTCTCTCGCAGACATACAGAATCATAGGGCCAATGACCCATTTCCATGTCTGTCAACAGAAGGAGTATAAGGAGAATGAGGAATGAACAAAAGCCCAACTTTTCTTAATGACACTGGCTAGATTCACACTTCACACTACCCCTTGGATTCATCTAATGTGATTCAGCTAAAGCTGTGGTTTTCAAACCACAGAGGCTAGGTGCATACAACATGCTAAACTAAAACTAAATCACATTATCATTTAGCACAAACTGTGAACCCAGTCACTCTCTTAAATACAAAGACAGCTGCTTCAGTTGTCAAGTCAGACAGGGGTGATTATGCAGCATTCTTGTTCAGACGAGAACTTCATTGTTTGCAAACGCTTAACTGGTTAATAGGAAGCTGCATCTTTCACAAATCTCTAATTTCAAAAGTCTATTCCTGTTAAGAGAGATGTTGTCCTTTGTCTGAAGCTGCTCTTGAACATATAAGCGAAAAGATTTTTAAACCAAATATTTACAATAGTGTTCATATAAGTCACGGTTCGACTGAACCCTCAACTATTTTCACTAATTTTCCTATCTTTCAGCAAACTCTTTAACATTAACATTAAGAAATTCAGCATATTTACAGCTGTGTATTTTTTTTTAACAAGGAGGCAATAAACCATACCATGGGAGGGTTTCCAGAAAACTGTGGTTTAGGACATGAAGATATTTTCCCCCAGTTGGTGTAATTCATACACATGTCTGCTTTATGCTCTGATAAGCTCATATCTGTCTGGCCACGTACAATTTGTCTGCAAATAACAGTGTTAGTAGCAATAATATTAGTAATGCATAATTACATCCATAACAATTAAAAAGAAGCATGACATGAATATCTTCCACTAATTCTGCAGACAGTGTATTAATGAAATATATATTTATTGATATACATTTCCCATGAAAGTCACCCATCATAATTTAGACGTTCATACTAAGCCATGATGTAATCATGGCATGTTAAAAATGCCATACTGGTGTGGTTTATATATCACACTAAAGCAAAATGTAACAAATCACGTTATGTCTTAGTACAATATATGAACTAGGAACAGTATGTTTAAGCCAATGTTTTTCCATTACTTACTGAGTAATCTTGATTTATGTACCTGCATTTTATCTACTTTCCAATCCTTACATATGGGCTATGTAATTTAAACAGTTATATATTTAGAATAACGGCAACTGGTCCAAATAAAAATATCTTCAAGTTCAGCGTTAAAAAGCAAAAAATCATGGAAGAAGCCCATTCGTATCAGCTGTTTCAAAAGCTCACATTCAGATATTTTGGACTATGATTCCATCAAGCCCAGACTTCATGACCAGTTGATGGGAGCTATAGTCTAAAACATCTGAAGGCCATCAGGTTAAGAATGATGGGATTACAGACTACAGTAGTTTATTGTTCTGATATTCTTTTGTTGTTGTTGTTTAGTCGTTAAGTCGTGCCCGACTCTTCGTGACCCCATGAACCATATTGCGCCAGGCCTTCCTGTTCTT